ATGTGATGATGAGGGCACAGTACGAAGGGTGTTGAGGGAACTTGAAGACCGAGCATTGATCAAGCAAGGAGGACAGGACAACTCGGAAGTTTTGGAATTTCAACCCAGGGATGGTGGGGTGCACTATTACTTGCATGATGTGGTCCGTGATTGTGCACTCCGTGCTATTGCCAGCGAAACAATGCAAGTGCGACAGAGGTTGGTGTCATCTCATTTGAAACACAGCAGTTGCAAAGATCAAACATTGGCGGCAAAGAGGTTTTCTGCGTGTAGAATAATTGGGGCAAACCAGTTGCGCGCTTTGCAGAATTTGCACGTGCCAGAGTTGAAGGCCCTTGTGTTGAAGGATGCAGGGATATCAGAGCTACCACCAACACTCTTGACAAGCCAATTGGTGGCAATTGACCTGACGTCCTCGGGCATCGTCAAACTGCCTTCACAAATATCTTGTTTGCAATCTGCCCAGCTACTCAGGGTGGATTATTGTGAAAAGTTGGCATGTCTTCCAGCTGAAGTGGGTGAATTGGTGCAGTTGAGAGTGTTGTCCATGAGGGGCTGCAGAAGCATTTATGACATTCCCGCATCATTGGGACGTTTGTCGATGTTGACCAAGCTACTGATGCCCCAATGTGGTATTGCGCATTCCTACCATCCCGATATGGAAGCATGGCGCAACTTGACCATGTTGGACTTGAGTAGGTGCACTGGCCTCAAGCACTTGCCTCCAAATTTTGGAGATTTGGCAAGCTTGACTGCGCTGAATCTGGGTGGCTGCTGGCAGCTCACAAGCTTGCCAGCCAGCATTGGTCAGTTGAGTCAGCTAGAGGTGTTGATTTTGCACAAGTGTGACAGCCTCATGGAACTGCCCAGCAGTATGGCAGACCTTTCCAATTTGCAAGAGTTGGATGTACAGCGATGCCCGCGATTGGTGGACATTCCTGACACCATTGGGGGCGCGTGGTTGGAGTTGAGGGTTCTGAGGCTCCAAGGGAATGGCTACATGGCCTTCCCACTGTTTGTGGAGGATTTGGAATGTCTTGAGGTTTTGGGCCTTCCAGTGGGTTGCAAGATTCCTGAGGCCTTCAATCGGATGCTTGAAGACCTCAGAATATCATTAGAGCTGGAGGCAACGAAGCTGTGTGAGGACAGGAGCTGGGACTGGGTGCGTCACAATTGCAGGGCATTTGTTGCATCGTTGCTTGGCAGTACTGAATTGTAAAAGGACAAGTTTTCCTTGGAAATGTGACACGGTGAAAACGTTGTGTGTGTGTGGAGCAGGATGATTGCACACCTCTTCATTGGTGCGCAAGCAATGGCTTGGACAAGATGGTCGAGTGGCATTTGCAAGAGACACAGGTGGACTTTCGAGACAAGGTTGGTCTTGGGGCGGCCAATGAGCATGGCTTTACAGTGACATCAAGCCTGAGTAAAATGTCGTCATCTGTCTGATGGAGCGATGGGTTGCAGCATCAAATTGGCTCTGTGGTTGTTTCAATCTTGCCTTTGCCTGAGATTGCGTACAGTTGGTTGTATGCAAGAGCTGTTGTGCATTTGTTGTTCTGTTATAAGCGAGAAAATTAATGTCTGCTGCTACTACAGAGACACCATAGGAGTGGCAAGCTGCATTATCAGTTTTTCACTGGACCAGGAGTTCCCATTCTGGCTTACTCATTTTTGTGCTTTTTCTTGCCGCATGGCCCAGGCGAAAGTTTTCTTTGGCACTTTTCTAGGCCCAAATATTTGTCATTGTTGGTTTGAACGATGGCAGTGATGTCCGCTGCACAATTCACATGATGCTACCATTCTACAACGTACTGCACTCTATGAGCGCACCTGTTGAAACTCACTGAAAGGCACATCGACCCAAACTGGTGTTGGTCTATTGGTTTGGGTCCCAAGAGCTCTTTGACGTGCTCGTCATTGTGTGTGATGCATAGTCTGGCTGGACGGCCCTCATTGAGGCTGCAAATGGTGGCCACACGAGCACCGTGGCGCTTCTGTTGGAAAAGGGCGCATCGTTAGACCAGGCTAACAATGTGAGCTGACGCGGCCTTTCTTCTTCACCAGTGTGGCTGGCATCTGTGAACGTGGACGTGTTTTTGTGTCGCCCTGCGCTTTCAGTTGTGTTGTCTGTTTGCGAGTCCCCCTGTAATGGTGGTGTTCTGCTGTGAAGGGGTTTGGCAACCATGCACACTTCAGAGTGCTGTTTTAATAGTGTACTGCCTGAAGGTGGCACAGGTAATGTGCACCTGGGCTGTAGTGATTTGCTAGGATGCATGCGGCCTTTGGAAGCCTAGAATGGGAGTTTGTTGTGGTTGCAACTTGGCGAGCATCATCGCTCACGCTTGTGCACATCCCAAAAGGAGATCGCAAGTGTAGAATGTGGACGCCGAAAACTATAGTTGCCAAGTGGCCCTGCGTTTGAATGACGTCAACACTGTTACAGTCTCATGCAGGAAGGACAAATTCCTTTTGCGAGAATTTTACCTGTCTTTTTCCTATGTTTCTCACCCTCTATCCCTGATCCATGCACTGCAGCAGCAGGGGTTGGTGCTTCCAGGGACGACTGTTGTCAACAGGACATGCAAGCAATGCCCCTGGCATGTTGCGGGAAGTGATGTTGACTGTAGAGGATCCGGTCCTTGTATTTTGTCCTGCACTTTGATCTGCCCCAACCAGCGTCAGGACTCATCCACTGGTTGTCTGACAAGCGCAGAGCACGAAAATGACCATCATGGTCAAGCACGCAAGCACAGAGACCGTGTGATCCTTCAGGCCATTTTGGCCATTGCAACTTTTATGTTGTGCAGCATGCAGCTGAGACAGATTGCCTGTTTGACGTGAGCAATGCCATTGCGAAGAAAGGGCTGCCAAGCAAGCACTGAGCGTTTTTCACTGGACCAGGAGTTCCCATTCTGGCTTGCTCATTTTTGTGCTCTTTGTGGTGTTTTTTCTTGCCGCATGACCCAGGCGAAAGTTTTCTTCGGCACTTTTCTAGGCCCAAATATTTGTTAGTTTGAACGATGGCGGTGATGTCCGGTGCACAATTCACATGATGCTACCGTGCTATAACGTACTGCACTCTATGAACACACCTGTTGAAACTCGCTGAAAGGCACATCGACCCAAACTCGTGTTGGTCTATTGGTTTGGGTCCTGAGTGCCTTTGACGTGCTCGTCATTGTGTGTGATGCATAGTCTGGCCAGACGGCCCTCTTTGGGGCTGCAGGCGGTGGCCACACGAGCACCGTGGCGCTGCTGCTGGAAAAGGGCGCATCGGTAGACCAGGCTACGGAGGTGAGCTGACGCGGCCTTTCTTCTTCAGCAGTGGGGCTGGCATCTGTGAACGTGGACGTGTTTTTGTGTCGCCCTGCGCTTTCAGTTGTGTTGTCTGTCTGCGAGTCCCCCTGTAATGGTGGTGTTCTGCTGTGAAGGGGTTTGACAACCATGCACACTTCGGAGTGCTGTTTTAATAGTGTACCGCCTCAAGGTGGCACACATAATGTGCACCTGGGCTTTATGGATTGGCTAGGATGCATGCGCCCTTTGGAAGCCTACAATGGGAGTTTGTGGTGGTTGCAACTTGGCCAGCATCATTGCTCACGCTTGTGCACATCCCAAAGGTGTACCGTGTATGGATTCCCTGTGGATGTCAGTGTGAGCCACAACACCTGGCAAGTAGAAGTCTGACCGAACGCCACAAAGTTGTGACAGATCGGTGTGCTGACCTGTTGAGTTTCTGCAACCTGTACCCCGTTGCACGAGGCATAGACGCAGACGGCGGAACACTGATGTCGGGATGTCAGGATAGGCACAGTTTTGTTTTGAACCACGACTAATATGCCCTTCATCCAGATGAAGGTCGTTTGGCTGTGGCGGATTGCAAGTGTAAAATGTGGACGCTGAAAAAGTATAGAAGTTGCTGAGTGGCCCTGCGTTTGAATGACATCAACACTGTTACAGTCTCATGAAGGAATGACAAACTCCTTTCATGAAAACTTGACCTGTGTTCCCATGTTTGTCAACCTCTATCCCTGATCCACGCGCTGCAGCAGCAGGGGTTGGTGCTTCCAGGAATGACCATTGTCAATAGGACATGCAAGCAATGCCCCTTGCATGTTGCGGGCAGTGATGTTGACAGTAGAGGATCCCGTCCTTGTATTTTGTCCTGCACTTTGAGCTGCCCCAAGCAGCATCAGGACTCATCCACTGGTTGTCTGACAAGTGCAGAGCACGAAAATGACCATCATGGTCAAGCACACAAGCACAAAGACCGTGTTATCCTTCAGGCCTTTTTGGCCAATGCAACTTTTATGTTGTGCAGCATGCAGCTGAGACAGATTGACTGTTTGACGTGAGCAATGCCATTGCGAAGAAAGAGCTGCCAAGGAAGCACTGAGCGTTTTTCACTGGACCAGGAGTTCCCGTTCTGGCTTGCTCATTTCTGTGCTCTTCGTGCTATTTCTTGCCACATAGCTGAGGCGAAAGTTTTCTTGGGCACTTTTCTAGGCCCAAATATTCGACATTGTTGGCGTGAACGATGGCGGTGATGTGCGCTGCACAATTCAGTTGATGCTACCATGGTACAACGTACTGCACTCTATGAACGCCCCTGTTGAAACTTGCTGAAATGAGCATCGACCCAAACTGGTGTTGGTCTACTGGTTTGGGTCCCGAGAGCCCTTTGACGTGCTCGTCGTTGTGTGTCATGCATAGGATGGCATTTTTGTGCTCTTTGTGGTGTTTTTTCTTGCTGCATGGCCCAGGCAAAAGTTTTCTTGGGCACTTTTCTAGGCCCAGATATTTGTTAGTTTGAACGATGGCAGTGATGTCCGCTGCACAATTCACATGATGCTGCCAGGCTACAACGCACTGCACTCTATGAATGCACCTGTTGAAACTCGCTGAAAGGCACAAGACCCAAATTGGTGGTGGTCTACTGGTTTGGGTCCCGAGAGCCCTTTGACGTGCTCGTCGTTGTGTGTCATGCATAGGATGGCATGACGGCCCTCTTTTGGGCCGCATACAATGGCCAAACGAGCACCGTGGCGCTGCTGTTGGAGAAGGGCGCATCGGTAGACCAGGCTGACAAGGTGAGCTGACGCGGCCGTTCTTCTTCTGCAGTGGGCTTGGCATCTGTGAACGTGGACGTGTTTTTGTGTCGCCCTGCGCTTTCAGTTGTGTTGTCTGTTTGCGAGGCCCCCTGTAATGGTGTTGTGCTGCTGTTAAGGGGTTTGACAACCATGCATACTCCGGAGCGCTGTCTTATTAGTGTACTGCCTCGAGGTGGCAAATGTAATGTGCACCTGGGCTTTAGTCATTTGCTAGGATGCACGTGCCCTTTGGAAGCCTAGAATGGGAGTTGGAGCTGGTTGCAACTTGGCGAGCATCATTGCTCATGCTTGTGCGCATCATAAAAGTGTATCATGTATGGATTCCCTGTGGATGTCAGTGTGAGCCACAACACCTGGCAGGTAGAAGTCTGACCGAACCTCAAAAAATTGTGACAGATCGATGTGCTGACGTGTTGCGTTTCTGCAACCTGTACCCCGATGCACGAGGCGTAGATGCAGACGGCGGAACGCTGATGTTGGGATGTCGGGATAGGCACAGTTTTGTTTTGAACCACGACTAATATGCCCTTCATACAGACGAAGGTCGTTTGGCTGTGGCGGATCGCAAGTGTAAAATGTGGACGCTGAAAAAGTATAAAAGTTGCTGAGTGGCCCTGCGTTTGAATGACATCAACACTGTTACAGTCTCATGAAGGAATGACAAACTCCTTTCATGAAAACTTGACCTGTGTTCCCATGTTTGTCAACCTCTATCCCTGATCCACGCGCTGCAGCAGCAGGGGTTGGTGCTTCCAGGGATGTCTGTTGTCAACAGGGCATGCAAGCAATGCCCCTGGCATGTTGCGGGCAGTGATGTTGACAGTAGAGGATCCCGTCCTTGTATTTTGTCCTGCACTTTGAGCTGCCCCAAGCAGCATCAGGACTCATCCACTGGTTGTCTGACAAGTGCAGAGCACGAAAATGACCATCATGGTCAAGCACGCAAACACAAAGACCGTGTGATCCTTCAGGCCATTTTGACCAATGCAACTTTTATGTTGTGCAGCATGCGGCTGAGACAGATTGCCTGTTTGACGTGAGCAATGCCATTGCGAAGAAAGGGCTGCCAAGCAAGCACTGAGCATTTTTCACTGGACCAGGAGTTTTCATTCTGGCTTGCTCATTTTTGTGCTCCTTGTGGTGTTTGTTCTTGCCGCATGGCCCAGGCGAAAGTTTTCTTCGGCACTTTTCTAGGCCCATATATTTGTTAGTTTGAACGATGGCGGTGATGTCCGCTGCACAATTGACATGATGCTACCAGGCTACAACGTACTGCACTCTATGAACGCACCTGTTGAAACTCGCTGAAAGGCACATCGACCCAAATTGGTGTTGGTCTACTGGTTTGAGTCCAGAGAGCCCTTTGACGTGCTCGTCGTTGTGTGTGATGCATAGTCTGGCTGGACGGGCCTCTCTTGGGCCGCAGACTTTGGCCACACGAGCACCGTGGCGCTGCTGTTGGAGAAGGGCGCATCGGTAGAACAGGCTGACAAGGTGAGCTGACGCGGCCGTTCTTCTTCTGCAGTGGGCTTGGCATCTGTGAACGTGGACGTGTTCTTGTGTCGCCCTGCGCTTTCAGCTGTGTTGTCTGTTTGCGAGGCCCCCTGTAATGGTGGTGTGTAGCTGTTAAGGGGTCAGTCAACCATGCACACTTCGAAGTGGTGTTTTAATAGTGTACCACCTCGAGGTGGACACGTAATGTGCACCTGGGCTTTAGTCATTCGCTAGGATGCACGCGCCCTTTGGAAGCCTAGAATGGGAGTTGGAGCTGGTTGCAACTTGGCGAGCATCATTGCTCATGCTTGTGCACATCCCAAAAGTATATCGTGTATGGATTCCCTGTGGATGTCAGTGTGAGCCACAACGCCTGGCAGGTAGAAGTCTGACCGAACGCCAAAAAATTGTGACAGATCGGTGTGCTGACCTGTTGAGTTTCTGCAACCTGTACCCCGTTGCGCGAGGCGTAGACGCAGATGGCGGAACGCTGATGTCGGGATGTCGAGATAGGCACAGTTTTGTTTTGAACCACGACTAATATGCCCTTCATACAGACGAAGGTCGTTTGGCTGTGGCGGATCGCAAGTGTAGAATGTGGACGCTGAAAAGTATAGAAGTTGCTGAGTGGCCCTGCGTTTGAATGACATCAACACTGTTACAGTCTCACGAAGGAAGGACAAACTCCTTTCGCGAGAACTTGGCTTGTGTTCCCATGTTTGTCACCCTCTATCCTGATCCACGCGTTGCAGCAACAGGGGTTGGTGCTTCCAGGGATGACCGTTGTCAACAGGACATGCAAGCAATGCCCCTGGCATGTTGCGGGCAGTGATGTTGACAGTAGAGGATCCCGTCTTTGTATTTTGTCCTGCACTTTGAGCTGCCCCAAGCAGCGTCAGGACTCATCCACTGGTTGTCTGACAAGTGCAGAGCACGAAAATGACCATCATGGTCAAGCACGCAAGCACAAAGACTGTGTGATCCTTCAGGCCATTTTGGCCAATGCAACTTTTATGTTGTGCGGCATGCAGCTGAAACAGATTGGCTGTTTGACGTGAGCAATGCCATTGCGAAGAAAGGGCTGCCAAGCAAGCACTGAGCGTTTTTCACTGGACCAGGAGTTCTCATTCTGGCTTGCTCATTTTTGTGCTCCTTGTGGTGTTTGCTCTTGCCGCATGGCCCAGGCGAAAGTTTTCTTCGGCACTTTTCTAGGCCCAAATATTTGACATTTTTAGTTTGAACGATGGCGGTGATGTCCGGTGCATAATTCACATGATGCTACTGTGCTACAACGTACTGCACTCTATGAACGCACCTGTTGAAACTCGCTGAAAGGCACATCGACCCAAACTGGTGTTGGTCTATTGGTTTGGGTCCCGAGACCCTTTGACGTGCTCGTCGTTGTGTGTGATGCACAGGATGGCGCGACGGCCCTCATTCGGGCTGCAAGCGGTGGCCACACGAGCACCGTGGCGCTATTGTTGAAGAAGGGCGCATCGGTAGACCAGGCTGACAAGGTGAGCTGACGCGGCCTTTCTTCTTCAGCAGTGTGGCTGGCATCTGTGAATGTGGACGTGTTTTTGTGTCGCCCTGAGCTTTCAGTTGCCTTGTCTGTTTGCGAGTCCCTCTATAATGGTGGTGTTCTGCTGTGAAGGGGTTTGGCAACCATGCACACTTCGGAGTGCTGTTTTAATAGTGTACCACCTCAAGGTGGCACACGTAATGTGCACCTGGGTATTAGTGATTTGCTAGGATGCACGCGCCCTTTGGAAGCCTACAATGGGAGTTTGTGCTGGTTGCAACTTGGCGAGCATCATCGCTCACGCTTGTGGACATCCCAAAAGTGTATCGTGTATGGATTCCCTGTGGATGTCAGTGTGAGCCACAACACCTGGCAGGTAGAAGTCTGACTGAACGCCAAAAAATTGTGACAGATCGGTGTGCTGACCTGTTGAGTTTCTGCAACCTGTACCCCGTTGCGCGAGGCGTAGACGCAGATGGCGGAACGCTGATGTCGGGATGTCGAGATAGGCACAGTTTTGTTTTGAACCACGACTAATATGCCCTTCATACAGACGAAGGTCGTTTGGCTGTGGCGGATCGCAAGTGTAAAATGTGGACGCTGAAAAGTATAGAAGTTGCTGAGTGGCCCTGCGTTTGAATGACATCAACACTGTTACAGTCTCACGAAGGAAGGACAAACTCCTTTCGCGAGAACTTGGCTTGTGTTCCCATGTTTGTCACCCTCTATCCTGATCCACGCACTGCAGCAGCAGGGGTTGGTGCTCCCGGGGATGACCATTGTCAACAGGACATGCAAGCAATGCCCCTTGCATGTTGCGGGCAGTGATGTTGACAGCAGAGGATCCCGTCTTTGTATTCTGTCCTGCACTTTGAACTGCCCCAAGCAGCGTCAGGGCTCATCCACTGGTTGTCTGACAAGTGCAGAGCACGAAAATGACCATCATGGTCAAGCACACAAGCACAAAGACCGTGTGATCCTTCAGGCCTTTTTGGCCAATGCAACTTTTATGTTGTGCGGCATGCAGCTGAGACAGATTGCCTGTTTGACGTGAGCAATGCCATTGCGAAGAAAGGGCTGCCAAGCAAGCACTGAGCGTTTTTCACTGGACCAGGAGTTCCCATTCTGGCTTGCTCATTTCTGTGCTCTTCGTGCTATTTCTTGCCACATAGCTGAGGCGAAAGTTTTCTTGGGCACTTTTCTAGGCCCAAATATTCGACATTGTTGGCGTGAACGATGGCGGTGATGTGCGCTGCACAATTCAGTTGATGCTACCATGGTACAACGTACTGCACTCTATGAACGCCCCTGTTGAAACTTGCTGAAATGAGCATCGACCCAAACTGGTGTTGGTCTATTGGTTTGGGTCCCGAGAGCCCTTTGACGTGCTCGTCGTTGTGTGTCATGCATAGTATGGCGCGACGGCCCTCATGTACGCCGCAATCATTGGCCACACGAGCACCGTGATGCTGCTGTTGGAGAAGGGCGCATCGGTAGACCAGGCTACGGAGGTGAGCTGACGCGGCCTTTCTTCTTCAGCAGTGGGCCTGACATCTGTGAACGTGCACGTGTTTTTGTGTCGCCCTGCGCTTTCAGCTGTGTTGTCTGTTTGCGAGGCCCCCTGTAATGGTGGTGTGTAGCTGTTAAGGGGTCAGTCAACCATGCACACTTCGAAGTGGTGTTTTAATAGTGTACCGCCTCGAGGAGGACACGTAATGTGCACCTGAGCTTTAGTCTTTCGCTAGGATGCACGTGCCCTTTGGAAACCTAGAATGGGAGTTTGTGCTGGTTGCAACTTGGCGAGCATCATCGCTCACGCTTGTGGACATCCCAAAAGTGTATCGTGTATGGATTCCCTGTGGATGTCAGTGTGAGCCACAACACCTGGCAGGTAGAAGTCTGACCGAACGCCACAAAATTGTGACAGATCGGTGTGCCGACGTGTTGAGTTTCTGCAACCTGTACCCCGTTGCGCGAGGCGTAGACGCAGTCGGCGGAACGCTGACGTGGGGATGTCGGGATAGGCACAGTTTTGTTTTGGACCACGACTAATATGCCCTTCATCCAGATGAAGGTCGTTTGGCTGTGGCGGATCGCAAGTGTAGAATGTGGACGCTAAAAAGTATAGAAGTTGCTGAGTGGCCCTGCATTTGAATGACATCAACACTGTTACAGTCTCATGAAGGAAGGACAAACTCCTTTTGCGAGAACTTGACCTGTGTTCCCATGTTTGTCACCCTCTATCCCTGATCCACGCGCTGCAGCAGCAGGGGTTGGTGCTTCCAGGGATTACTGTTGTCAACAGGACATGCAAGCAATGCCCCTTGCATGTTGCGGGCAGTGATGTTGACTGTAGAGGATCCCGTTCTTGTATTTTGTCCTGCACTTTGAGCTGCCCCAAGCAGCATCAGGACTCATCCACTGGTTGTCTGACAAGTGCAGAGCACGAAAATGACCATCATGGTCAAGCACGCAAGCACAAAGACCGTGTTATCCTTCAGGCCATTTGGGCCAATGCAACTTTTATGTTGTGCAGCATGCAGCTGAGACAGATTGCCTGTTTGACGTGAGCAATGCCGTTGCGAAGAAAGGGCTGCCAAGCTAGCACTGAGTGTTTTTCACTGCACCAGGAGTTACCATTCTGGCTTGCTCATTTTTGTGCTCTACATGGTGTTTTTTTATGCTGCATGGCCCAGGCGAAAGTTTTCTTCGGCACTTTTCTAGGCCCAAGTATTTGACATTGTTAGTTTGAACGATGGCGGTGATGTCCGCTGCACAATTCACATGATGCTACCGTGCTACAACGTACTGCACTCTATGAACGCACCTGTTGAAACTCGCTGAAAGGCACATCGACCCAAACTGGTGTTGGTCTATTGGTTTGGGTCCCGAGAGCCCTTTGACGTGCTCGTCGTTGTGTGTCATGCATAGGATGGCGCGACGGTCCTCATGTACACCGCAGTCGTTGGCCACACGAGCACCGTGGCGCTGCTGTTGGAGAAGGGCGCATCGGTAGACCAGGCTACGGAGGTGCGCTGATGCGGCCTTTCTTCTTCAGCAGTGGGGCTGGCATCTGTGAATGTGGACGTGTTTTTCTGTTGTCCTGCGCTTTCAGTTGTGTTGTCTGTTTGCGAGTCCCGCTGGAATGGTGGTGTGCTGCTGTTAAGCGGTTTGGCAACCATGCATACTTCGTAGCGCTGCTCTAATAGTGTACTGCCTCGAGGTGGCACATGTAACATGCACCTGGGCTTTAGTGATTCGCTAGGAAGCAATTGGAGGCCTAGATTGGAAGTTTGTGCTGTTTGCAACTTGGCAAACATCATTGCTCATGCTTGTGCACATCCCAAAAGTGCACCGTGTATGGATTCCCTGTGGATGTCAGTGGGCCCAGCGACACATGGCAAGTAGAAGTCTGACCGAACGCCACGAAATTTTTTTAGGTATGATGAACATGCCAGCCATGCAATCAAGGTCGTGGGGTTGCGCTTTGCAAGATCGCAGCTGTTGAGTGCAGATTCTGGGAAATACACAAGTTGGTGATCTGATCCATTTTCGATCCAACTGCCCTCATCGGTCACAGGCCGCATTCTCATCATCGATATGGGTATTTGTGCTTCAAACCAGTCGGCTTTTGAATGACATCAACACTGCCACACTCACGTTCAGTAAGGAGAAACTTCTTTACTGAGAGCATGCCTTGGTATCCTATGGTCCTCACATTCTATCTGTTAAATTATTGTATAGTCACCATGGTGACTAATGTGTGGATGATGTGGACAACAAATTGGCATTGCTGCACAAGTGAAAAACAACAATATGATGCATACGGTGACTAGCTCCCCATTGAGGCAAAACTTAGGGTGTGCACAACAACACAAAGGATCAATTAATGTTTAAGATGATTTGACAAAAGTTTTGATGAGTTAGATGGCTTAGATGAATGAATTGGGCGGTGAAAACATGATCATTGAATTGCTTGCGCGATTCTGATCAATTTGGATATGCTATGGTTAAATGACAATCATTTAAGTCATTAAATTCATTTGAATCATTTAGGATAATGATCAATCATCTATTTTTATCAACATAGGTGAATGCCGCATGTCATGGGCTCACACACGCTGTAATATAGGTGTGAACTTGGTGGCACTGGTCGTTGGGCGCGGTGTGCCATGTGCATTACATAAGGGTGGTGGCAATAGTGTGATGGGTGATGTTGAGCGTGTCACCGTCCTGCCACCCTTGGCAGCGTGTGTGAGGGCTGTGGGATGCTGTGGGCGCCGTGAGAGTTGTGTGGAAAGTGCAATAGAGTGTAAAGTATGCCGGTGGCTGGTGCTGTGCATGGGATAAAGGAAAATGGTGATGGCATAATGGGATATTGTCACTAGGAAATGCATATGGTGAATTCTGGCGAGTGTGGTGGATTCTGACGGGAAGGGGGAATGTTATAGGTGCAATATGTGAGTTCGCAGTGTGGTAGGGCGTTGGAACAGGGTAGTTCAATATGAAGTGCATTTAGAGTGCAATGGTGTAAGGGAAAAGTCTATGGGATAAGGCATAGGATGTTATGGTGTAAGGGATGTTGTGATAGTGTAAGGGAGTGGTGTTATGGGGCAGTGGCAGAGGATAAAAGGGGGGGGACGCTGGTCCATTTGACAACAGTGCCAACCGCCCGCACCCCCTCGTTCTTGGGCCCGGGGGCCCAATAGGGCCCCTCTCCTAGAAGACCTTAAGTACTGGAGCACCAAGAAGGAGTCCGAATTCGGACTAGGGCCCCATGAGCAAACTTATTCAGGCAAAGGTGGAGATTCATCTGGCGAATTTGTAGAATATTCTGAAGTGATCCAGTGTGGATAAGGAGGATCAAGGGGATCAAGAATTGAATTGCCGGATGATGGATCTATAGATTCAGAGCAAGGTGTGGTGCAAAGGGCAACATTGCATTTGGCAAGAGGTGGAAAAGTGGTAGCAAGTGTTGTGTGGGTTTCTCAAGTCATGTGTGATGGTTATATTGGGTTGAAATGGTGATGCATGTGGACTGAGCATTTGAAGTGATGTGATGTTGTTCAATCAGGATTGATTTCTTGACGATGTTGATTATGATTGATCATCAATTTAAGCAATGGGTTATTTGTTCAGTTCAATATGATGCATCCCAAACTCTCAAAGCAATGCGAGTTTCAATGGAGCAAAGATTAAGTTCAGCCTGTGATCTATGGGTCCTTCGGGGCGATCACTAAGGGGCACGTACTTTAACATGGTTTCGGAGCTAGTAAGCTCCTGTGGATTCTGTAGGGATCATGTTTGGTAGAGCGTTTCATATTGTTGTGTTGGGGTTGGTTCACTTCAATATAGCTATGAGAGGCTTGATTTTTGGAAAAAATGGAAGGACTCTTTAGTCTGGTGGCAAAAAATGGTGGTTGAAAAAGGATGGGGATATCAAGTGAATGGAATATGGAAATATGGAAAAAGGCAAACGTGATGTGAAAGGACATTAAAGTGCCATCAGAAGGCATGCAAAATGGATGTGGCCTGTGACCTTCATTATTGAGGGAGTCAGTATTGATTCCAGGCCTTGTCCTTTGAGATTTGGGGCCGCATTTTGCAGCTGGGCCCACCACAATATGAGTGATGAAGTTGCGGATGATGTGGATCTAATTTTCCCAAGGAGAATATCTCAATAGTTAGTGGCTATGGCAGTGTGTGCATATGTGTGATGTGGCAAGTGGAAGTGATCAGTGTTTGATGGTGATTGGTTTGGTGATTGGTGGTTGAGTGTGATGGGTGATCTTTGGTGAGCAGTGTTTTCAAGGTTTTTCTACCTTGACATTCTGATGGTTTGATGATTCGATGGTTTTGATTGTGTTTCTCTTGGATTGCTTCATGTTGGTTCGATTTGGTTTATGTGTTTGAGTTTGTTGGAACAACATTCCTGTTGTTCTTGGAGATTTCGGATTCCTTTGTGGATCTATTGGAAGCTTGAGGTTGGCAAATGGGCACTTCTTTTGAATGTGCTGGAAAGGTTTGTTGAATGCTCGTTAACAATTGTGTCACACATTATGAATGCCACAATTGGGACATTGGATTTGGGAGGTGAGAATGTTGGACTTGGTTTTGGTGCAATTTCATCGCACTAGATTGAGAATGGAAGGATGAGGTGGTTTGTCGGTTTCATAGCTATTGGTATCCATCTAGCTTGCAGGTATGGGACTGCAATGTTATGATGATTGGTTGAATATTGACCGGTGGGAGGTCTGTATCCCATTTGGATTTGAAAGGTTTTGATCTTAGCCTGTGGGGTCTGAAGAGGACCGGGAGGATACATGTGTGGTGGTCAGTCCTGGGCAAGCAGTGCTGAGGTAATCGGGGAGTAGGATTCGACCTGCAAAGATCCGATGGATTATTCTTGGATGTGCCTTGAATTCAGAGTTTGGTAATGTGCGTGGTATGTTGGTTGCTTATAGCCCAAGCCATGAGTGTTTCATGGAGATTGTTCCAAGGATCGTTTTGTATTTGTTAACTTTGTCTCCACGTTGGTAAGTGGACTGAGTATGGGATCAGTGTCATGGAATCAGGTGTGATTTGTTGTTTTCGCTTGATGGTTGTGTGAGAGTTGGAGAGCACCATTGGCATACATGTATGGGACTGTATTGCCAATAGGGGCTGCAGATTTGCATCTTGAAAGATGCATAGCTACTTTCCTAGTGAATGATATATAAATGTTGACAATGGAAAGGGTAAGTACTCATTTGTGAGTCCAAGTTTGCCCTAGTGTGCTATGGTTGGTTCCTTCTTTTGGATCCTACCTTGGCATCTAACATTGATTGGAGGCTCAAAGAGCAATCATATGCTCAAGGAGTTGTTGGTAAGGTGTTGGAACACTCTATGGATTGGAGAAGGGAGAAAGCAAGATGCTTTGGAGGAAAGGAAAGAACAAAATATGAGCTAATGGATAGAAGAAGATAAGGAAGTTTTCGATGGCCAGGCAAGGTACAATGGATGGAAAATATTACTTTCGTTCAAGTGTTGGAGCTGGTGGATCGCGACCATCAACTTTGAAGCATATACATGGACAAAGGCAAGTTCGTGTGGTTTTGGCTGTGAGATTGTCGAGTGGTAACTTTGGTTTCAAAACCAAGTTGCATCATCTTGGTGATAAACGGCCATGGAGGATTTGTTCTTTTGTATTCCCAAAGCTTCGTAAGTCTGGCTGGATGGAACCCGTGGAGCATGAAGAGAGCCGGGAGGATTAAGGAGTGGCGGTCAACTTTGTGCAAGCGAGAATTCCAGCAATACAGCAGGAGGGGGAGGTTGGACAGGAAGGTAACCTGTCTAGTTTTGCAAGTGGAATATTTCTGGTTGATTGGATCAAAGAAGAGCATAAGGAGTTTCATTGAGGATAACATGAGTTGGATTTGTTGTCATTGGAATAGGAATGAGTACAAGGGCAGAAAGTTGGTGCTAAAGATTCGGAGTTTGCGCAGGGTAAGCTGGTGTGCCCATGTTAAATTATTGTATAGTCACCATGGTGACTAATGTGTGGATGATGTGGACAACAAATTGGCATTGCTGCACAAGTGAAAAACAACAATATGATGCATACGGTGACTAGCTCCCCATTGAGGCAAAGCTTAGGGTGTGCACAACAACACAAAGGATCAATTAATGTTTAAGATGATTTGACAAAAGTTTTGATGAGTTAGATGGCTTAGATGAATGAATTGGGCGGTGAAAACATGATCATTGAATTGCTTGCGCGATTCTGATCAATTTGGATATGCTATGGTTAAATGACAATCATTTAAGTCATTAAATTCATTTGAATCATTTAGGATAATGATCAATCATCTATTTTTATCAACATAGGTGAATGCCGCATGTCATGGGCTCACACACGCTGTAATATAGGTGTGAACTTGGTGGCACTGGTCGTTGGGCGCGGTGTGCCATGTGCATTACATAAGGGTGGTGGCAATAGTGTGATGGGTGATGTTGAGCGTGTCACCGTCCTGCCACCCTTGGCAGCGTGTGTGAGGGCTGTGGGATGCTGTGGGCGCCGTGAGAGTTGTGTGGAAAGTGCAATAGAGTGTAAAGTATGCCGGTGGCTGGTGCTGTGCATGGGATAAAGGAAAATGGTGATGGCATAATGGGATATTGTCACTAGAAAATGCATATGGTGAATTCTGGCGAGTGTGGTGGATTCTGACGGGAAGGGGGAATGTTATAGGTGCAATATGTGAGTTCGCAGTGTGGTAGGGCGTTGGAACAGGGTAGTTCAATAGGAAGTGTATTTAGAAGGAAATGGTGTAAGGGAAAGTTCTATGGGATAAGGCATGGGGTGTTGTGGTGTAAGGGATGTTGTGATAGTGTTAGGGAGTGGTGTTATAGGGCAGAGGCGGAGGATAAAAGAGGGGGGCCGCTGGTCCATTTGACAATAGTGCCAACCGCCCGCACCCCCTCGTTCTTGGGCCCGGGGGCCCAATAGGGCCCCTCTCCTAGAAGACCTTAAGTACTGGAGCACCAAGAAGGAGTCCGAATTCGGACTAGGGCCCCATGAGCAAACTTATTCAGGCAAAGGTGGAGATTCATCTGGCGAATTTGTAGAATATTCTGAAGTGATCCAGTGTGGATAAGGAGGATCAAGGGGATCAAGAATTGAATTGCCGGATGATGGATCTATAGATTCAGAGCAAGGTGTGGTGCAAAGGGCAACATTGCATTTGGCAAGAGGTGGAAAAGTGGTAGCAAGTGTTGTGTGGGTTTCTCAAGTCATGTGTGATGGTTATATTGGGTTGAAAGGGTGATGCATGTGGACTGAGCATTTGAAGTGATGTGATGTTGTTCAATCAGGATTGATTTCTTGACGATGTTGATTATGATTGATCATCAATTTAAGCAATGGGTTATTTGTTCAGTTCAATATGATGCACCCCAAACTCTCAAAGCAACGCGAGTTTCAATGGAGCAAAGATTAAGTTCAGCCTGTGATCTATGGGTCCTTCGGGGCGATCACTAAGGGGCATGTATTTTAACATATCCCTGATCCACGCATTGCAGTAGCAGGAAGTGGTGATTCCAGGTCGACAGCTTTGAACAGGACATGCAAGTAAAGTCCTGGTCACCTTGCAAGCATTGATGGTCAACATGGGTGGGGGAAGTGCTTGTATTCTGTGCTGCACTTCCATCTCCGATAGAAGTAAGACTGTGCGCATTGCAAAGTTACCACAGGCCGCAGCTGGCCACTTTGAACAGATATCTGAGTGGCTGTGCATAATGTACTGTACTCGATGATGCACCCATTGAAACTCTCAGGGCTCAAGAGCAGCTATGTATGATAGATGTACTGTAATGGGCTTTTCTTGGGCTCCTAGTCTCCTTTTCTATCCAGCATTAGGCGATTGCAGCATTGTGGCATAAGGAACAAAGGCCAACAATAAGCGTCATTCACATCATGTATGTTGTTGATGGACAAGATGCGTACAATGGAATGCACCAGGTCTATTTTATTATTCTTAGTGTTAAATTGACGGGGGGCGCCCTGTGAAGCGAAGAGATTATGTAATTGCCACAAAATCGACATAAGCAGGGAAGGTGCCCAAAAACGCCACTGACAAACAGCAAACAACCCGTGAATTTTTCCTAAACCACTTGCAAGTGTTTGATCTGCAAAGAATGCCTTAGAATGGATCAATTTGAGGCCATTGAGGCTACCCACCTTGCCTATAATAGCATTTAGAATCCCATTTTTCAACCCACTGAAATCAGCAAAAGTTCCGCTGTTCTTTGTACTCAAAACACCTAGAAGTTGCGTACCATAGTCAGGCAATGTTACTGAGCCATAAGGATTGACGCTAAGGGGTGGGGGGTGGGGGTGGGGGAAGGGTGTGCCTGAGCTCAACGTCGAATTGATGCTAAGCATGACAAAAGCGACACAGCGCCTTCCCTAATTGAGGGGCGTTTGTGCTATCGTTTCCTGCGTATAGGTATGCTGGACGAGTCTGGTCTGGTCATACAAATATAAAATGTGACGTTGCCATGGTTTGAAAGGTCGAAATGGTGGTTTAACTTACTCTATACCCAAAAATATTCTGGGCGGCATGATCCTCCATGTTCATTGGCTCTCCACAAACACGATGTTGAAGACACTGCATGTTGCTCACAGATGAACTATAGCTCGAGTCCAAATGTTAAAGTGAGGTGTTCAATTTCTGAGAGACACCTGGGGAAATCATTGTGGTCAGCTTCTGTTGATCTACCTTGCATCAAATGCCACATAATTTGTGCGACATCGCATGCAAACTCCTGCGCCTGATGGTGCAACAAATGTATTCATTGCCAAAGTGCCGTAGCAGGATCGCATGTGCTGTTGGGGCCGTTTCTACGGTTTTCAGTACGATTGTCAGCTGGTGGAGGCCGCGTGGTGATGTGTGGGTCTGAAAATTGGCCCAGGGGTTGAGCTTTCGGCGCTGTTGAGTGAGGGCTTCATTGGGGACTGGTACAATCATGCGGGATTGCAATGTGCACTTTTGCTGTACGATGTGGCGCGCTGGACCATTCCAACATGATGTCATTAAATCTGATATAGCAAGGCTGGACCTGGTATGATTGGTGGGCGACGAATATGGCAGCACGGCTGTCCTGCCAACAGCCATGCCCATATGCCAAAGCACGCCAGCTAATGTCGGGCAAGGCGAGTGCTGCATCTGTGTTCTGACTGTTGTGATCAATTCACAGCTCGGATGCACGGCCCTTTCAAGTGCATCGGCGAGGGGCCATGACACTACAGTGGAGCTGCTGCTTTCCCGCGTTGCAACTGTGGACAGTGTCGACAAGGTATGCTTCCAAAATATGTCTCTCCTCCTGTTATGTCCATCTGAGGCTTTTTACCAGCATTTGTGGGGTTGTGGTGGCAACTCTGTTTTAGAAGCCTCAACTTCAGAATTGTTGATGGATCTCAATTTCTGGAATGTGTCAATTTGCGTTGCATGGAACCCATTAGCCTTTGATTATTTCAAGCAACTGGCGCATTAATATTGGAGTGTCCAACCTGTGTTGAGTTCTGCCTATCGCATTGCCGGCTGTGCCAACGGGCCCAGTGCAGTCTTGCGCCAGGCGCTCGCCTTGGTCTTGAGAAATGTGATGGACTGTGCAGGATGGCAATGCGCCCCTTGCAAAAGCAATAAAATTTGGCCACCCAAGCACTGTGGAGCTGCTGCTGAAGCATGGGGCACGCACGGACGTACCAAACGAGGTGGGATTGTTTTGTACTCCATGGACCTTATCAACGCCTGAGCGTCTGTTCGAGTAAATGAATTCCTTATTGAAATGATGAGACAATCGCACACGTGTGGCTCCCTATAGGCTGCATAGCCTGTTGTGCAGTGTGGCTTTATTGTGCTGATCAAAATATTGGGCACTGGAATTGCATGCGCACAAATCAGAGCGGTTCACGATGAGCCAACGGCATGCCTTGCCGGCTCCTGTTGCTTGCTGAGTTGTGTTTTGCGTCTGCCATCTTATATAGGACAGACAGGCAGACGCTCACCCACCCACAGCTCCAGGTCTGTGGACATCGGCGATCAGAATTTGAACACTGAAAGCACAGCAATCGAAGCAGTGTTCTCCCTTTGATGGACTTTGGCAGTTCTTGATGAATCTGGCAAAACTTGTGTCTGTCCACTGCTTGGCTCCTTCTGATGTCTGAAATACCTGGATAGCTTGAGTGTTTTGCGTGCCTGAGAAGTTGTATGCGCTCAATGCGCAGACAGGAGCAACCCCTCTTTTTCATATTTGGTCCGACCAGCGGGAAGAGAAGACTGATGAGCAGACTGCTGCGGAAATTGTCAGAATTATGTTGGACCATGGCGCTGCTGTGGAGGTTTCAGACAAAGTAAGAGAATTGCTCGGTGTTTACGTCACATTGCAAATGCAGACCCACAGTCAAGTGAAAACTGCATGTGGTGCAGCGGCTGACTGACATGTGCGTTCAAAGTGCTCATTTGGTTTTGATATTGTGCGGACCGCAGCTGCTGCAGGTCCATTACGAGTCGATTGGGACACAGTTCCTAGTTGTTGTCTTCTTATTATCAAAACGCACATGCGACAATTTGCGCTTTGAGCAGTGGCTTCCTTTTCATTTCCAAGCGCCGCCCACCATCTGGTCTTGTTGCCTTTCTTATTTCTCCGGCCCTTTCTGAAGTGTTGCCGAATGCAAGCTGACTGGGACAATGGAGCGCAGGCCATGAAGCCACAGAATGCTTGTTTCTGAATGCGCAAAAGATGCCCATATACATCTACTCAATTATATGATTGAGTACCTGCCGCCTGTGGTGGAATGTCCTTGCTGCAAGAACAACCTTGACGCACCGCTTTGAAACGACTCCCAGAACAAATATATTGGCGTCTGCAAACAAGTTTGTAATGGTGTATTTGACCCGCTTGTGCATTTTTTGTTCTTTTGTGCTGTGACTTTTGCGCGTATTGCAACCGCCAAGTACATGGCGGGAAAAAAGCTTTGAAGGCGCGCGTGACAATGTGTGCCGATGTGCAGGGCGGCGTGACTCCGCTGATGGCGGCTGCGAAGAGTGGCCACACATCCGCTGCAGAATTGCTGCTGAGCAAAGGGGCTTCGGTGGCGTCGACTGACAAGGTGATAATCCGGTCGCCAGGACTGAGATGTGGCGTCGCGCCCACCGGTGTAGTTGGCATGTGCTGAAAGGAAATGCGCTATGCTCTACTTCTCTTGCGGATGTGCACAGGAACATTGAGTGCTGCCAGAGCAGTGCTGCGGAAGCACAATTTGCCCATGCACGCAACCAGACATCCCAGCTGTATCCACTGTGCGGTGTCGGAAGTCCAAATTTCATTGAGCGACTATGGACACCGTCGGTTGGCGTCAGACGCTGAAAGCCACTATCTCGTTATATGCAATCAGACTGCGTCCTGAGTTTGCAGACCACGTCTCGTAGGGGTGCATGCGAGCCCCCTTGGTGTCTGGAGATGCCTATCGGTTCACGACATGGGAGGGCGCGCTTTGACATTGCGTCATCCCGGTGTCCACCTCGCCGGGTAGCGCCCGCAGTGATTTTGTCATATTTCGTCACATTGTTTGCATTACGTCATAGTTTATCATATTTTCATGTTTTGTTGGCGTTTGCTATGCTCAGGAAGGAAGAACAGCGGCGCAGTACGCCAGCGCTGGGGGGCATCACGAGCTGGCAAAGAAGCTGGGCGGTGGTGATTGAGGTCAAGGGCGTCTGGACCGATCGCCATGACGGGGATGAGGACGCTGAGGTCGCCTAAGTGTGTGGGGCGTTGCCATGTCGAATCCAAGCACCCCCAGTGCATTGCATCCATTGCGTCTTGGCCACCGCTTCATCCAGAGAGATGAGTTGGACACGGCCCCTCACGCTCGCAAGGGCAGCGCTTGCGAAAGATGACTGAAGGATTGGGGAGGGCTTGGCTCGCTAGCAGGTCGCTAATGGGCGTTTGTTTCAGAAGTTGGTGGTGGAGGGTCCGGGGGGTGACTTATTGCGCCCACGTATGGCATGGACAGACACCTCGTTCGTCGTTGGTTCCGCCATGGGCGCGGATGACAGCAGGGACGTTGATTGAAGTGCGGCGGGTAGCCGTGTGACCACGTCTGATGCGAGAATGGCAGTGAGTGTTCCTGTGGAAATGCGAGATGCTCCTCTTGGCTCCAGATTTCTGCATGGCCAGCTGTGCGGGATGATGACCGTTGCTATGGTTTTCCAAACAAGACTGCCATGCACGTAACTCTAGACTCTTGGGATGCGCACTTGCATCTTTGCGCACCTTTCCTGGCCAGCTGCTGAAGCCAACAGCTCGGTATGACGCTGAAAGGTGACGCATTTTGGCAACGCGCAGCCCCCCCAATCTTAGCATGCCGCATGTCATCACGATCCATCGGATGGGTGCATAATGACAAAAAACTTCTGTCCGTAATCATCATTTGGCCCCAGCAATCTTTGAATATATCTTATTTCAGATCGCTTGTTCCACATTGTCCTTGGGCAAATAACGGGATGTGAAGAATGATACGCCTCCTCGCTGGGCATTGTGTTCACGATACTGAGCATCGGGCGCCCCAATAATTCACTTACCGAAGTCCTGTGTCTGGATTTTGGCGGAGCAAGCAGAGGTGGTGAGGGGATGGGTGAGGGCAGGGCGAATCGAGTTGGTCGGTTGAGTTGGGGAGGTGGGTATCGTGCTAGCACACGATGATGTCAAACCAATCAAGCACATGGCAGGGCATCCAGAAAGTTGCACAGTTTCGCCTGCCAGGCGGGGAGCAGGCACCCTGCAAGCGTAATAAGTCGATGTGCAGCCTTGAATCCTGTTCACAGGATTTACATGGCGATTCAGGGACCAGACTGGCATTGAGCGTGTTGCCAGTGAGTCACTGGCGGTGACCCACAGCACAGGGTGCCTGAGAACGAAATCTTGAACTTGCAAAAGATTGGCATACTGAAAAGGAAGCGCCAAAACCCCTCCCACCCCCCAGTGTTCATCACGGCACATTCAGGATCCTGAATCAAGCGCGTGTTCTTTGTTCATATTCAATTGGACTTTACATTCGAACCATAAACCGCTTCCCACGCCACCCATCGAACCCAGTACTGGATCCTGACCAGTTCCTGTTGCAGAAATCACATTGCGTAGTCTTTGGCGAGCTGAGCAGTAGGCTGTTCCCACTCTTAAGTGTCACACAGTCGTCAATGATTCGCTTCAGGGCTTTGGGCCACAGCTGCTGAAATCGATCCCCCACAAGCGATGCCACAGAGCAGAGCCCTCCAAGATTTCGTTGCCACAGGGCAAGGGGTGAGAGTGGCCCTTGTCGTCCACCACATTCCCACAGCACCACTCCCATGGACAACATGTCAGTGTTCTCGTTGAGCGACATGTTCTTCATGAGAAGGAAGAGCAGCACTTCCAGTGCCATGCATCCTGCAGAAACGCAAAAATAAAGCCTTTGAATCTGAGAATCTACTGAACCACAGAGCTTTGTTTCCCTTATCCGCAATTTCCATGGAGCAAGGTACATACGGCACTGCCATTCCTAAAATCACCGCCGATCATGCCAATCTCAGAATCATCGCCGTGGTAGCTCCATCAACCCCACACTTGAATGCTAACAGTTCAGCTACACCGCAGCATGCTGACTGGCAATCGCTGGTGGAGTTTCGGTTCAACGAATGACAAGCCAAGTTGACCAACAAAAGCTGCACTCAACACTTGTTACCGTAGAGTGGTTCCCATAGTGTTACTGAAAGCCTTCAGTCGGAGATTCCAAAATCGGCGATCTTGGCATCCCGCAATTCACTGTCCACAGAAACGTTCGCAGGCTTCAGGTCGTTATGCATGACCGAACCTGATACAGGTGATCCGGCTCACTGGCTATGTGTAGAAAATACTTGAGAATCAGCCTGAATGGAATGCGCCCTTGGATTTTGTCCCCACGAATCACTTCATGTGGGCTCAAGCACCAGCAGCGCTCTTCACCTCTTCGACAACTTGCACGCTGTGCTCGCCATTGCGTTTGCCGCCTTGAAAGTAACCCGGGCCACCGTGGCATGACACTATGTTGGAGTGGCTGGGCACCCTGCTCATCTTGTCCAACTCCTGCCTGAAAATTTTCAGCAACCTCTGAGGGCATTTTTGTGGCTAACAGCTCCGTTCTATATTGAACTGCCCCACACACATGCTTGTTACTCTCATCGGTGAACACGCCACTTTCTGCACTGCCACAGGCGCCTGACGCGATGGCAGTAGGACTGTCTTAGAGGGGCAAACGCGGATGTCCCAAGTCTGCGGAGGGGTTGGACCTTCCGTGGGCCCTACTGTCAGGGATCCATTCGCGGTGCAGGTCCCTGTCAAGAAAACCATAAGGATGTTGAGACCTTTGTACACAATATTGCCAGGAATCTGCAGGAAGCAAATTTGCCACAACTTTATGAAATACTGTGCTCACGCCTGCTAGGAATTTGCAGCCGTCTCTCACAAATTTGAAAACAAATACACTCACAGAGAAGCCTTCGTCCTACAGAATATACGTGTACAAAGACAGACATTTACTCGGTCGATGAAACAAGAAGCAATAATCAATAATGCAGACATTGCCTTCTGGGGGTAGCCCACGTTCCATGGGATGTCGGCTTGGCGTGATTCATCCAGCGGCGCCTCACACCACTGCCCAAGCCTTACAACAGCCAGTGCCCACTGGCCGCAGGCATATCCTGAAGGTTTGGCAGATCCCTGGCCAGGACGTGGCACGATGGATTCCGCTGGCGTTCGTGTGCAGGGATAGAATGTGCGATGGCAGCGGTGGTTGGGTTGTATAGGCGAACCCTCGTGTACAGGAAACGTGACTGGAGGGCGAGTCTTTTGAGCCGGGAAGCGTCCCGTGCCAGCACACGAACGTGCTTCAGCTGTGCAAGACTCTTGCCATTTGTGTGGCGAAAGCTCCACCACAGTTGTAGTCATGCACGTGGCCGAAATTTCAGATCCGCCTTTAATCGGCGTTTACCTCGCGTCGCGACGCCTCGTCTCCGTTTCTGCTGCCTCGTTGCGTTGCGCCTGTTCGCCTCTGCGTGCTGTGTCTCTCCGCGTGCCCGCACGCCCGCTTACGCTCCCTGTCCGCAGATGCAAAGAGTTCGGTGTGCACGATTAAAAGTGGCTGCTTGCAAGTGCAGAAACGGATATTACGGACGTTATTATTACATCCGCCGGACAAATAGCTGTCATGCCAGTCCTGCCCGTCAAATTGGCGGGAACTGCGACTTGCTCAAGCTTCAGCAGCTACACCTGCGTTGGCTGGGCTGTCGAGCACACGCACCACAGCGGCAGGGCCATTGCTCCAGCCTGCACTCACGCCACAGTGAGCGCAAAGCATATTTGGAAAAAACAGGAGCCCAAGAAAGTGTGAAAGGAGGTGCACGAGTTAAGAATTCACATAATGCCATGACCCATATTGCCATCACATCCTGCATTTTTGTCATTTGGCACCCATTTTCATCCGCTCCTGTTCAATTATCTACTGGTGTTAATTTTCATTCAGGAACACTGATCTGTATCAGGTGATCACAAGTGCTTGAGTCTGGAATTAACGTAGTTCACTATAACACAGGCGCCCTTGTCGCCATCTTGTAGGACCTATCACCACCCATCTACCTGATTTCTTGCTTAGAGTCCTACATTTCCCACACTCCAATCGATGTCCGTGGGTTGTGTCACGTGATCATGCCAGTACTCCCATGAGGGCTTCTGGCATTGGTGCAAAGCTACCTGCTAGCTTCTCGGCAATGTTGCTAGGTTGCTGGTCGCTTAGATTTCGCTGCCGCGCTGACGTAGATGGATAACCATATCATGTATGCACATGGGCTCTCTGGGTGCTCTGGCCCTTGGCGGTTCTTGGCACATCAACAAAGTTTGGGTCAATCTGCGCAATTAATGTATGGGTTGCCTGCGGAGAGTTGATATCGCTATGCACAATGCCTCGGTGTCGTTTAGCAAGTGCAAAGGAACTTTTTCTAACCTTGCAGTACACGCATCTACCCACATGGATTGGCTGTGTTGCGTGGCATGGCTCAAGGGAACAATAGGGGCAACAGCAGTAGACACGGGGAGGATTGCAGGGATGGGCATTCGTGAAGACATATAATTAACTATCTTGTTAATGAGTTTCTGCCAAGGACGACGATGGGTGGGCGCGCGCCGGCCATTCTGGGCCGGGCTGCCTTTCTGGGCCATTTCAGGGCCATCATACACCGGTTTCTGTCACCCCTGTACTTGGGGTCAGTTCTGAACGCCGGATCCAAGGGCAACCGGGTGATCCTTGTAGCTTGGGTGTAGACAAGGGGACCGGTCAAGCTGGCCCTTGGGTTTGGCGGGATGTTTGGCGGCAAGTGGGCATGGCTATTTGGGCGTGACCCTTGGCGCCCCCTTTATCTTGTTTCGCACCCACCCCGCCCACCCTAATAGATTGAGTTTCGGTACGTTGTGGGATGGAGAGGGGGTTGAGTACGGGAAAAGGGAGCTGACTCCAGATTGAGTCACCATCAGTGTGGCATTAAGTACTATGCGGAGCGTGGGCACATTTTAAGTGGGTCGCCAATCGGGTCTTGTATTAGTGAGGTGATGGACACCAGTACATTTGTGAGTGTAAGTCTTGTCGTGTGGGAACACGGGGTTGAAGGAGACCGGTAAAGCAGAAATAGTGAGCACA